CCCGACAGATGTTTAGACCAGAACCAAGGGCCCGACAGATGTTTAGACCAGAACCAAGGGCCCGACAGATGTTTAGACCAGAATCAGAACTTGCAGCTTCTCTAAGATTCTGTCTCGGACCAGAATTTGTTTTTCTAAAGTTTTTTTTTATTTTTTTGGTCGATAACAAATAAAGAAGTGAGCCTTCAGTGGTTTTGCAGAAACAGACGAGTCCCAGAACCTCCAGTTCCAAACTAAGACCAGTAGAACCAGGTGTGTCAGGAGAAACCTGGTCCAAAGTTTAAAGTCCAGTCTGATCAAAGTTTTATTAAAGTCAGTTTCACTTCATTATAAAGTTTAATACAAGAGGAAACATTCAGCCTGTTATTAAAGACCTGCAGGGGTCTGAGTCTGGACCTGCAGAGTCTGGACCTGCAGAGTCTGGACCTACAAGGGTCTGAGTCTGGACCTGCAGGGTTTGGACCTACAAGGGTCTGAGTCTGGACCTACAAAGGTCTGAGTCTGGACCTGCAGAGTCTGGACCTGCAGAGTCTGGACCTGCAGGGTCTGGACCTACAAGGGTCTGAGTCTGGACCTGCAGAGTCTGGACCTGCAGGGTCTGGACCTACAAGGGTCTGAGTCTGGACCTGCAGAGTCTGGACCTGCAGGGTCTGAGACGTGTCTTATCAGTCTGTTGCCTCAGGCTGCAGGAAACGGGAAGATTGCAACACTTTTATTTTGAAAGGGTCGACACACACAGGTGTTGAGCCACACTCAGACTCTGAAACATGAGGAAACCTCTGAGGTTTGTTCTGAACACACAGATGAAGAAATCAGGTTTCAACACGGAGTCCTGAGGGGTCCTGGTTCTGGTTTTTGTTTGAGGAACTGGATCTGATAAAAGTCTGTTTGATTTTTAAAATCTAAAACTTGATACTTTGAGTTGTGTTGGTCGCACACCTGAGGTCTCTCTATGATCCGATCCAGTCATACAGAACCCTTCCTGTCAGGGTGCAGGTTCTGGTTCTGGTCCAGATGTGTTCTCAGTGTTGGTTTCTGTGTTCAGGCCAAGTCGAGGGGAGTGGAGCAGGCCCGAGAGCAGATGTTCACCGGAGAGAAGATTAACTTCACCGAGGTGCTGAGCTTCAGTCACTGCAGGGTCCAGCTGGGCTCACCTGGGTCCAGTTGGACTCACCTGGGTCCAGCTGGGCTCACCTGGGTCCAGCTGGGCTCACCTGGGTCCAGTTGGACTCACCTGGGTCCAGCTGGGCTCACCTGGGTCCAGCTGGGCTCACCTGGGTCCAGTTGGACTCACCTGGGTCCAGCTGGGCTCACCTGGGTCCACCTGGACTCACCTGGGTCTGGCTGTTTGTTTCCAAACATTTAGACCTGTCTTTAGTTTGATGGTTGAAGTGTGTGTGTGTGTGTGTGTGTGTGTGTGTGTGTGTGTGTGT